TGGCACAAAATTAACCTTTATGAAGATGATAGGTTTTTGAAGAACCTAGTAAATAGCATAGGACATATAATTAAAACATGAAAATAATATTACAATTAAATAGGAGTTAATTAAAATAATTTTAATTAATTAAAACATTAAAACAATTACTAGAAAATTTTAATGGTTACATGGGCTTAAAAATTAAGGAACAAATATTTAAATTATTATGCATAAATATCCCTATATCAGAACAAAGGGAGATTAAAGCATTGTCTAGCTTAGATCTATGCTCTTCTAGTTTTAAATGTTTGGCAATTTGGCTAACAAAAAGTATGACTTAATTGACATATAGAAATTACATGTATATGTATAATAAGAGAGAAAGTTAGGAAATGCAATACATCAAAATTGTCATGACTAGGGAGAATTGTGGTGGTAATATTTTGCCAAAATTTTTATTTTTGTTCCAAAACCTACCATTGCAACCAGAAATGAATAAGTTAAAGTTGTGGCAAAAAAAGGACCAAATAATCTCAGCAAATCAGAATAATCTAAGATTTTGAAACAGTGCAAAATAGAGAGCTGCCACTACCGTGGAAGGATTGGCAATCATACATATAGTAAAATCTTAGGAAGGAGGGGGCCCTCCTGTGTGAACCATCCCTTAAGGAGGTGAGAAGGATGGAGGGCCTTTTCTGCAGCTGCTCCCCATATCTGGAATGCTCTCTCCAAGGAGATTTGCCTGGCACCTTCCTTTTTTATTTTTCAGGTGAAGACCTTCCTTTAAAAAATAAACATTTTAATAACTAATTGCCACAGACCTTTGTTTTGTATGTTTTGCTGTATTGTTGTTTTTAATGTGTTATTGGTTTTATCATGTTTTTATTGTGTTTTTATCTCGTGATTGTAAGCTGCCCAGAGGTGCTCTGGCACAACTGGGCAGCATACAAATGTTTTTAACAAATAAGTCTGGGCCTAAGGTGCTGGTGAGGACCTTTAAAGCCCTAAATGGCTTAGGACCGGGATACCTGAAGAAGCATCTCCTTCCCCATGTGTCTGCCTCTCCCCTTAAGAACTAGGTTGGAGGTCCTATCCGGGAGCTCTCTAAAGATTAGGAGAGCAGTTGTCTGTAGAAGGGCCTTCTCTGTGGTGGTACTGTGGTTATGGAATATGCTCCCTAGAGAGGTTCACCTGGCACCAACACTTTATTCTTTTCAGTGCCAGGCCAACACTTATTTTCCCAACATTTTAATGTTTAAATTGTCTTTTTAATTGGGGTTTTATAGAAGATGGTGCTGTGCTTTCTTTTCTTTTATTGTAAGACTGTCCTGAGACTATACAGTTTCTGCTAACTCATATGCAATATAGATAAGCTGATACTGGGAAAGTGTCTCTGGAGCAGAAAAGACTGGTTCAACCTGAAGATTCCAACCTTAATTTTGACAGTTTGTATGTGTTATCTTTCTTCTCTTTTTGTACATCTTGTTTCTTATTTTGGTTGCCTCAGTCCTTCAAGCCATTTGCTATGTGACTTTTACCTTCTTAAACATTAGAAGCTGTTTGCTTTATCACTGTCAAGGAAGCTATTACAGAAAACACAGCTTCCTTCAGTCCATGGAAGTCTTCCCATAACAAGGAAAAAAAGGAGCACAAGTTTGCACAAGGAAGGTGCAAACAGGCAATAAGACAAGCAAAAAGTGCATTTTGAGGATTATGTTGCTAACACCATGAAGGCTTTAAGTGAAGAATTTTTAAACTCATCAGAAGCAACAAACCAGCTATAAAGGTAATTGGACCACTGAATGATAAAAGTTAAAGAAATACAAAAGGAGAATAAATATGGAGGTCTTAGCATTTTTAAAGAATTCAAATATGAAATTGCTGACCTTTGTAAAAATAAACATGTAATATGCCCTTAAGATCAGTTCCTGTATGGTCAATGTAGCACCAATTTTAAGAAGTGATCTGGGAAATTACAATCCAAATTACACATTTGCTGAAAGTGTTAGTGTCCTCAAATAAATTTTGCCAACCCACACCACTGCCTGGCAATAAATATTAGCCTACTGTCCGGGAAGCCGCCTCACTGTCTGGCAGTGAAGGTTAGCCAACTCACTTCATCACCAGATGTCCGGTGCATGATCCCTGCATCTTATCTAAGTGAAGTCTGTAGGCTTGTTAAGTGTAACCTTTCCTGTTTATCTAAGCCAGCAAGCCTGTTAAATGTAGCCTTTACTCAACAGCCTGCTAAATGTAACCATTACTGTTTATCTAAAGTAAAACCTGCATGCTTGCTGTAACATAACTGCTACAATGTAACCACTCCTACTCCTGTGCTAGATACTATAAAACCCTGACTGAAGCAACCTTTGTTGTTCCCCTCAGGCACACACAGGTGCCTGTGTATCAAAATAAACCATTTTGCCCTACAAGAAATTGGTATTCAAGCCTTAATTGTGGTTTGGTGTGACATTATAGGAATAGAATCAGTAAACATATATACAGGCAATCCCCAACTTATAAACATCTGAGTTATGAACAACTAGTACTTACAAACAAACATGAAGCCTATTATTTAAAAAAAATTACTGTGGAATTACTGATGGGAAAAAAAAAACATCATTACCATAGAAAGGAAGCAAAAGGAGAGAAAGGGAAGCCTCCAACGCACGCCTTCCTGCTCCACTCAGAGAAATCCCTCTAGTATTTCCTTGTTGCAAAGAGGAAGTACTGGTGAGTTAGAGCAGGGGGGTAGATTTAGCCAGTTTTTTCCACTTTCATGGGATCCTGACCAATTATAGGACCAACATTATAGATCCAATTTACATACAAATTTGACTTAAAGACAAGTTTCTGTTTTCTCAGGAACCGAACTTGGTTGTAACCCAGGGACTGCCTGCTGAGGGTTAAGCCCTGCTGAAAAAGAATCAACATGACTACTGCAAAGTTAAGTACATTCCCATTAACTTTTTAGAGTTCTTTGAGAGTGTCAATAAACATGTGGGCAGTGGTGATCCGGTAGACAGTGTTTACTTTGGTTGCTAAAAGGACTTTGGTGAAATTTCTCAGCAAAAACTCCTGGAAAAAAATAGGAATCACAGAATAAGAAGGGAGGCATTCTTATTTGATCAGTAACTGGTTAAATAATATAATTAAGAGCCAGTGTGGTGTAGTGGTTAAGAGGGCAAGACTTAGACTCAGGTGAGCTGGGTTCTAGTCCCCACTAGGCCATGGAGCCAACAGAATGTTTTTGGCCAGTCACAGACTTTCAGCCCAACATACCTCATAGGGTTGTTGCTGTAGGGATAAGATTAAGAGAAGGAAGAGGAGGAAGAGGATGTAAATCACTTTGAGTTTGTTATAAGAAATGGGGGTTATAAATCAAACAAATAAATAGAAAGCAGAGAATAGTTAATTTCTTCCAGTGAGGGGCATAACCATTAGAGTGCCACAGGGATCTCTATTAGGACCAATGCTTTTCAGCTTATTCATAAATAATCTGCTTTTAGGAGTGGCCTTGAAGTGTCCAAGCCTGCTGATGGCCCCTAAAAATGATATTGTACAGTTGGAAAAAGAAGTGAAAGAGTAAATTAAAATAATTATGAATTGGAATAATCCCTCTATGAGAAAAGGTTGTAACAGCTGAGATTGTTTAGTTTAGAAAAATGTAAGGAGAGACATGATGGAAGTCTGCAAAACTCTGCATCATGGGGAAACAGTGCATAAGAAGGTATTTTTCTCCCTCTATAATGCCAGAACCCATAAAGCTAACAGGTGGAAGATTCAAGACAGATAAAAGAAAGTACTTCACATAGTGCCAAGTTAAACTACTTTATTCATTTCCACAAGATGTAGTGAAGGCCACTCATATGGATGGCATTAAACGGGGACAGGACTAATTCCTGGAGAATACTATCAGTGGCTATTAGTTGAATGGTGTCAATGGTCCAGTTACTGGAGAGCTTGGACAGGAGGATGCTGTTGCATTCATACCCTGCTCCTGCAATCCTACAGGCTGAGCACTGTGTGAACACAGTGCTGGAGCCTGGTCTGGCTCAGCAAGGCTCATCATATTGGTCAAAATTGGGATGGGTGACTTGAGTGTATGATTCTATGATTAGTGCTGTAAACTGCCCAGAGAGCTTTGGCTATATGCAGCATGCAAATGTACTACTACTAGTAGTATGTCCTAAACCAGGTTTGTCCTTTGCAGCATCCCTCAGAAGACTCAGGGCCTTTGCTTTTCTGATATGTTCCTTACCTTATATAGGCAACTCTGTTACAACGCTCTTTAGCAGTATGCCTTTCTTTCCATCTTTTACAGGACCCATTTGAATCTCACCTCGTCAGAGCGCTCCCTGGCCAGCCATATAGGCTTACTTGCATTATTCTTAACCGACCAACCAGCAGCATTTTCATCTAGAGGAGAGTGCCTTCGAGTACTCTATTTTAAGCACATGTTTCCTGTGTAGTGTAGTCCTCAATCAAAACAACGTACGCGAGAGCAACCATTTAAAAATCAATGCGTACCCCATCCCTTCCCCCCTCACCTCGCCCTCCTCTCAGACCGTTATACTATCCGTATTTAAATATCGCTGCCTTCTTTTATCCCTTGTGAGCAACTGGTTATTCAAAACGAGTCTCGATTGGCTTAGCTATAAAAGGGGCGCGGCGAAAACGGTATTATTCATATTTCGTTTCGCCCGCAATAGCCCTCCTCCCCAGTCGCGGGCTTTGAGCCTTTCAGCCAGGCCTCTATTGCTGCACGCGCGCATTTCTCTAGGGCCTTTTTGAGCTGTCTAATGTCCGCCTGATTTGAAACACGATTGGGTACACCTTAGTAATCAGACTGAGCTCTACCAGAAACGGAGCCTGTCACCACATAAGCATGGAATACTTTTTGCTATATTTTTGGCCGCCTTCCACCCTGTAGACTTGCTGTGTGGGGGTTTATTTTTAGACCGGCATTCACAAAGCAGCGGGAAGCATCCGGCGCGAGAACCGCGATCGAACCGGCGGGGTCCTGGCGGTGTGCAAAACGCGCCAAGTTTCCCGTTGGCGGAGAGATCGGGATTAGAGTCACCCAATATAATCTCTCTAGCATCCGGGAGTAGTACCCACTGCTCCCCGCCGCTCCTGCACCTCTCCCTCTGGGACCTGAGAGAACGAGACGATGTAGCGGGTGAGGAGATGCGGCCGTGGCCGTCATGAGTAGTCAAGTGGGGAAGTAGCGGAGGGCATGAGTGGATGTGCGCATTCCCTTCCAACAGGCGGACAGTATTTACTGTGCTTATGTGTGAAATTTATATTTCGCCTTTCCTGCGAGGAGCACAAAAGGCACAGGAGCCTCCTCTCCTACGTTATCCTCACAACAGCCTTGTGAGGTAGGTTAGGTTGAAAGGTAGCAGTTGGCCCAAAGTTATGTAGTGGGCTTCAGTTTCTGTTTTCCTCCATCTCTCGGTGAGTTTCTGAGGCGGTATCCATGTGGCATCCACGAATCGGCCGTGCATCATCCTCGCTGTCTCCTTTTTCCGCTTGTTCCCACCGTTCCAGGCTCTTCTCAGTTCCTGCATTAGCAGCTTGCAAGTGCAAAGGACAGTTCCGCCCCGTTTTTCTTTGCTGAGCCGCTGAGGAGAGACAGGAGCCAGTGTTGACCATTCACTCCCACTCGTGCCTGTCTCGAGTGTCTGTGAATGAGGGCAAGCCGAGTCACGAAATCTGCTCTGGTTGGATCTGGCGGAGGGCGGGGGACCCCTTCCTTCTCGTGGCAGGTGTCGCGCTTGAGCCAGCGACGTGGGGGCGGAGAAGGCTTCTATAAATCGGCCTTTAAGATTATTGCTTCAGACGGAGTGTTTATGAGAAAGAGATGTCTAGGAGTTGTGTTTAGGAAATGAAAACCCCGATCCCAAACACGTTTGTTGGGGCTATTTGGACTTATTTCCAAGTGAATATATCTGGATTATAGTCCAAGGAACGGTTGTCAATTTCAGTTTCCTGCACGGTCTTATTTCTCCGTACCTTTTCCAATGAAGGTTTAGAAGTGAAAGTTGTTCATTCTAAATAAAGGAAGCAAATTTGGCGTCAAAGAGCTTTTTAAAAGAGCAAAGCAATCCGAGCTACGCTGATAAAAGTGCAGTTACTTCAGCAGTCTGCTTAAGTGTGCTCTGATTACTCTTGTATTGTCACAATACATTTTATCTCTTGGAAAACATAAACGTGTTTGATATGCATTAACAAGAATAACCATAGGTTGCACTCTTTTCTCATTGCTTCCTCTTCATTCTGGTGAGGGAGGGAAAAATGCCAGGTGTGTTGCCCAGTGACAGTACTGGACTTTCAAGAAGCACCCCAATGAAAAAAAGCAGATTGTCACTGAAGTTTTTTCAGAAAAGAGAAACAAAAAGAGCCCTGGATTTTGCAGAAACAACAGAAAATGAACAAAAGACTTCAGAATATGAATGTTCTAAAATGTAAGAGTTTTTCCATTTTCATCACAATGAAAATAAGAACTTCAAAAACCTTTTTTGGGGAAGGGTCTTCAGTATTTGTGATAGTACAGTGTAATAATAAAATCAAGCATTTATTGTATTGTGTAAAATGCTACTGGCTGCTAAAACTAATCTAACTGCATTTAATACAGTAATTTAGTTTTTATTTTTCAAAACCTACATACCATGCTTATCAGCTATGTATATTTCCCATTGCTCCTAGTCCAAAGCTAATTACTAATGTTAAGTTTATTGCAGGGATTTTATGTTGATGTTAGTTTGTTTCTAATGTAATTGGTATGAGATATGCAGTTGGCAGTGTGATCAAACTCCAGCCTAACTTTATAGTTTTTAATTATATCTTTTCAGAAGAAAGATTTAAGCTACCATCACATTTACACTTTCCTGGAACTGAGCCCAACCAAACACAGTGGGGCCTCTGAAATAAATGGCTAACCATGGCTAGATTGTACTTTTATGTGTCAAAATATTAACCTATTTTACTGTTTTCGGAGGATGGAAAATTTTCTTAGCATTGAAGGGCTTAAGAATACAGTTCTATGATACTGAGGCTAGAGTCATTAAAGACTTATTTTTAGAGAAAATTTTACTGCATTGTGTGGTATTTCCAAGAAAGCATGCATAGGATTGTGCTGCAGATAGAGACTAAGAACCAGTAAATTCAGTGATTTGCTTCCCAGTATGCATTTTTATGATTGCATGTCACACCTTTGTTCTTGTCCTCATATCAGTCTTAATAACATGTTCAACTGCTTATAGTTCACTAGCATGTTTCAGTTGATTAATGCAGCAAAATATAAAATAATGATCATTTAAGTAGACTGCATGGGAACAAATTTTAAAACCGGCCTTACAATATATTGCTAATCTAATGCTTGCTCATTACTGCTTGTCTTATGAAGGCATGAGTTTTCTCCCAAGGTGACATAAATATGCCTATCAAGATGTCGGCTAATAAAACTTTAGCTATTAAATTCCTGACTTCAAAATGTTTGTTCGTTTTGTGTTGGCAAACACTGAATTTTATTGCTAAGGGAGTTATTTTTGTACACATTTAATAGCTATGTGTATGTAGTTGCTTCTTGGGTCCTCTAAGTTCCATCAAAGTTCTGTGTAGCTTTCTGAAGTGATTAAGAAACAGTTGTTAATAAAAGGTGGTAATTTTTAAATTAATTTAGGATGCAGTCCTTGGCACATTTACCTCGGAGTAAGTACCACTGACACCAGTGTGCCTTATGTCTGAGTAGAACTGAATAAAAGGGTATGTATGTTATGCTATCTGAAATTAAACTTCTTCTCTACTTAACAGTGATCAAGTAGTTCCTGCAGCACAGCTGTTTTCTCCTATTTACTGTGAGAAGAAAAACAACATGCTGCCTTTTGTGGGCTTAAACAACCTTGGGAACACTTGTTATCTTAACAGCATACTTCAGGTAAATTCATAGGGTTAGAGAGTGTAATGTTACACTTTATTTTGTAGTTTGTACACAACATACTTCCTGGGTTTAGCTAGTCCCAGTTAGGTGCTAGGCATCAGCTCATTTGTTCACAACAACCTAAAAGTTGTTGTTTAACCCTGAACTGGGCCAGTATATGAATTTTGAAGCCTAGTGCATGGTATGTAGAAATCAAATGCAAAAAACATGCTATATATCCAAAATAAATACTACAACAGAGTGAGAAAATTGTGCTCAGGTAATTTTGTCTATTCTTTATAAATGGTTGTTGCTGTTTATAACTGAATATCCCTTTAAGAATATCTAGCATGTTGTAAAGTATAACTTACAAGCTAACTTATAAGTCTGTCAGGTGCTTCTCCTTTTCATTCTTAAAAGTTCCTTGGATATTTGTAGAAGGTATCAACAATCATCTAAAATGTACCGTTTTGATCAAAAGAAAACAGCGAGAAAGAAAGATGAAATTTATTACAATGTGCTATACAAAAGAAGGATAATAAATTATTTTGGCAACTTGTAATGGGAGCCTTATCAGAACAACAAGAATATCCTGCTTGTTTTATTTCTAACTATGAGTAGGAAATATTTTTTTTCTGAAATACTTCAGGACTCTAATAATCATTTCTTGCATAGCGTTTGTCTTTTGATGTTCCAGAATGGCATCCTGTCACTCCTAGTGAAATTATTGATTTGATTGTCGCACTTAAGTCTAGTTAAAGCGCCTGGCCCAGATTCTTTTCTACCCGATCTTCTAAAATCAAATCCAGAATGGTGGGCTCCTCTATTGTCGGCGTTGTTTACGTATATTAATAAGTCCAGAAGGATTCCTGATATCTGGAGTAAAGTGACCATAGTTTCCATCTTTAAAAATGGTGACAGGATAGGACTACCTGCCAATTATCACCATATCAGCCTTCTTTCAGTTTTTGGGAAACTTTATGCAAGGTACTTAAAACACAAACTTTTAACTTGGAAGATAATTGTATAATAGGTGAAGAACAGATTGGGTTTAAAGATGGCCATTCAACCTTAGACCATTGCTGTATGTTGGCTTATTTGGCAGAGAAGTTTGCCTCCATTTCTGATAGAAAACTATTCACTGCCTTCCTTGACCTTAACTCAGTTTTTGATTTTGTCTCGAGGGAACTGTTGTGATCTGAATTTCATAATAGTTCCATGGGCAAATGCTTACTGTTCCTTATCAGTTGTTTGTACAATCAGACTTACAGTAAAGTCAGATGTAGTCTGCAGGGACAAGTTTCTAACCCAATCCCTGATACAAGGAGAGTTAGACAGGGTTGTATTTTGGCCCCCTTTTAATTTATTTCTAAATGATTTGGCTTTCCATTTCCATAACGTCAACTCTCATGCTCCCAGATTGTGTAATACTAAGATGCAGCTACTTCTGTATGCTGATAATGCCGCATTGCTCTCACTTTGCAGAATTAAGTTTACTTTGCATTTACTCAGTGCATTTGGAACTTACTGCTCTATGAACAGCCTGGTCACTAATTATAAGTCTAAAGTTCTGGTGTACTCTAAAGCTAGAAAACAGCTTAAATGGACTTTAAATGGCACTATCATTAACCAAGTTTCCCATATAAAATATCTAGGAATTCAAATGCAGACCTCTGGGCTCTGGTCTGAACAACATGGCATATGTTGCAACAGAAATAGCTATTTTTCATCAGTCTACATTGTCAAAATGGCCTTCCAAAAATCTAGCTTCTGAATGCATGTCTATTATTTTTATTATGGTTGATGTTTATTATGGCAATAATAATTTATTATTGACACTGCTGCATCACAGATGCACACATACTATTTTTCTATCCTGCTTTCCAGTGCTGGGTACATTGCAAGCTTTATTTCTTCACTGTGTATAGATAATTGTACAATTGTACCTGCTGAGTACTGGATTTTAAAATTACGACATACATAACCCATCCTTTACCCAAGAAATCCAGAGTGGCATTAATGGGATTATCCCATTTTTACTGTAAAGGCTACCTTGTGAGATAGATTACCTTGAGGAACAGTGATCCAAGGTCACCCAGTGAGCTTCACATGTGAGCAGGGATTTGAATGCAGGCATACGTGAATTATTAAAATCATATAGATTTATAGGTAAAGATACATTTCATACACAATGTGCTCTGTCATTTAACAGTTCATATTGTTTTTTTTTTAGGTGCTTTATTTTTGTCCCGGCTTTAAAATTGGAGTTAAACAATTATTTAATATAATATCAAACAAGAAGGACAACTTAAAGAATGAAATTGATAAGGTAAGATATCTTGCCTCTTATTAGATATATTGCAAGATCTCTATGTTGTGAATTCAACATTAATTGTATTTCAGCATCTTCCTTTGGAAGGTAGTATGCAATGAAGTATATAACTTTTGTAGCAAAGTAATAAAGGGCCACTTCATGGTTTGTTGCCCCATCTAGGGTTTGTCTGGCAGGCAAATGAAGCTATGATTACTTTTCTTAGTCATTCAGCCGCCTCTTTCTTTGCCCACTCTCTCCCTGCACTGTAGTATTGACATGTGCAGAGGTCAGGCTTTTTGATCACTTGCCCCTGTAGCCTGTGAAACAACCCACCATTCTGGGTTAACATATAGTGACAATTCATTGTTCAAGCAACCCACAATTCACAGCCCAACAGCAAACCATGGCTTCTCTTCATGATTAATAGCCCATAGTTAATTCTAGTTCTAGGTCCATATGTAGTGGGCTAGTTCACATGATAGAACAACCCACCAGCTTTCTAATTTAAGCCATGGTTGGCTGCAGCTTGTACTGGTCACCTTTTTGAAAATTCAATACTTGGCTGAGGCTTGTTATGCCATGCAAACCTGAGGGGACAACAGATCTTGGATTATGTAAGGGATATTTAACTTTCATGTAACATGACAAGTTGTGGCCTGGGTATTGAATATGCAAATTCTGCCTGGTATGTGCCATAGTCCATCAAAAAGGCCTCTATAGGTCAATGGCAACAACATTTCAACTATTCTTTGTTACATACAACCCATATCTTAGTGGTGTTGTATAACTTAGTTTTTAACTTTATTTGGAAGGTATTATAACCTCATGTCTTCCATAAATAGAAGACAACAGGGTAATTTGTTATTCATAGCTTTCATTGATGTGCGAAAAGAAGTCAGATACATCAATATGATAAAGATAATTGCACTGTCAGTCACCATTGTAGTTATTTTCTCTGCCTTTACAGGGAACCATTAAAGAAGATTCTCTTGCAAGCTGTGAACTGGTCTGCAGTTTACACTCTTTGATTATTTCAGTTGAACAGCTTCAGGCCAGCTTTCTGTTAAATCCAGATAAATATACAGATGAACTTGCTACTCAACCGAGAAGGCTACTAAACACACTCAGGTACACATGATATTTTAACAAGCTTCAATATCTCCAGTCATCACTGATTGAATAAGAAATATCATGGTTTCAAGTAGAGAAGTTGCCTTTTTCTTTTAAGAAATAGACCATTTCCAGTAACATTTCTGTACATATGTTCATTTCTAGTCATTTTTAAGAGTGAGGTAGCTCAGCAATAATACAGAATGGAGTTTGCTGAAGTGTTCTCCTATTGTCATGCTATCATGCTTAAGTAATTAATTAGGATACAATCTTAAGTTGTAGTATGCAAGATTTTATAAAAATGTTCTTCCATAATTAAATATATCTCATAATATGCAAAAAAGCAGACCATCTACTTAGCTTAAATGTTAGACATTTATTTCTTGTACTGCCTTGATTACATTGTATACATCTAAATTGGTATATGTTCCTAAAACAGAATGCCTGCTCAGTTTGCCTTTGTTCATGTATCCCTATCTAAACTTTGCTAAAGAAACATCTATCTGATTGTATATACTGGGTTATATTGTATTTTTATAGGGAGCTCAACCCCATGTATGAGGGATATTTACAACATGATGCCCAAGAAGTATTACAGTGTATATTGGGGCACATCGAAGTAACATGTCAGCTCTTGAAGGAAGCAATAAAACCCAAATCTCTAGAAGAACCTATAGATGAACCAAGAAAAAACTGTTATCCAGATATGGACAGTATTGGCATTGATGTGGAAGATGGTGGTATAGTGCATGACCAAGCTATAAAGGAATGTGAAGATAAAGCTAATGGAAATGCAAAGAGAAAAAGTGATATGGAAGGTGGCAATGAAAAGAAAAAATACAAAATCTCCAAAGAGAAAACTGGAGTAGGAGAAAACCTGAGACAGACCCGCTCAAAGAGAAAAGTACTGGTAGAAAAACAGGAGAATCAAACTGAAATTACCATTAAGCATTTCATTGAAAGTGAAAATATAAAGCCAACTCATAAAAAATCAAGACTTCGATTAAATTGGTTAAAATCTTCAACCAACCAACCTAGCATTCTGTCTAAATTTTGTAGTCTGGGCAAACTGAGAACAAACTTGGGGTACAAAGACCTGAATAAAGAAATTGATGGCTGTGAATTTACAGATCATTTCAACTGTGAAAATAGTAACCAAACAAGAGAAGAACATTGTGATCCATCATCACCTGTGGAAATTACTGTTGAAAAAGGGATTGAAAAACAATGCAAGACAGGTTAGCGGTATAAATAAATGGGGAACTTAGCTTGCTCATCTGCTTGAGTACTCTGCCATTTTATTTTACAGCAGTGGAAGAGTATAACTGATGCTTTGTTGCTAGAATTTCCAGAGGGGTTGCTATATTTACAGCAAAAAGAGCAACAAAGTGTCTTGTGGAACCTTAGACTTTTATTTGGGAATACATTTCTGTGGGATTAGAAGAATAGGCACATACATAGCTTCCATGGGCTGGTTCTTCTGTTCTTCACAGAGCTGGGCTGTGGGGGCTGAACATATTTTTGGATTTATTAAGCATAGGTGGAAGAATAACTCAAGCCATGTATGGGTTTTATTGCTGGGTTGTTTCTCACAGTTGAAGTATACCAGTTATACTCAAGTTAGTGAAGTACACAGGCACAATTAGATCTGAGTACATGAGGGGATCATATTTAATACATCTGATACCAGTGTTTACTGTAGATTTCAAAGCCTGTATTTAACTGAAATTTGGGTAAATATGAATTTTTACTAACATTGGAAACAAACTAAACCATTGGAAATAACTACTGGGACTTTTGTTTGGGGGTAGATTAGCAAAAGGGTTCTCTTTTACCATGTGTAAAAAAGCCGTATGTGGCTCTTTTATTGGTTTTGGTTTGTTTTTGTTAAATACATAACTATCTCTATCACCCTGTATAAAGTGATATCCCAAATTACAACTGTGATCATTACACTCCTTCTGAGTAGCAAATAATATGCCCAAGATATGTTGCGTAATACATGAAGTCCCTAATACATGAAGTCATGTTTCTCTACTGGATCTGAAGACCCACAAGTATAGCTTTTGAGCACAGAGTCTTCCAGCTGTTTTCAAACTTCCAAAGCTTTCCACTGCAGTCTCTTAAACCTAACAGAAAATGACTCCAAGATGAGGGATTTTGGGGTAGAAACAGGATCTGATGCTATAGAAAAAGATTGAGAGAGCTTTGACTATGGGTTAAGCCCACTGTCAATGTGAGTACCCCCAAATTCCATGTGTTGCCTAGTTCTGCTCTGGCACAGGTTTGGTGTGAGTGTATTGACAGTTGAAGTTGGGGTGGGAAATCCATTCTGGCAGCAGCTTATGTTCTGCAAATGGCCAGCATTGCATAGAAACCAGCAGAAAAAAATAATCTACTTGGCATATACTTCTCTTTTCATGCAGAGTTAGCCGTTTCCAGTTTAGTGGAAAGACTCTTCCAGGGTCAGTTGGTATTGCGAACAAGATGTTTAGAGTGTGAGTGTTTCACTGAGAGAAGAGAAGACTTTCAAGATATCAGTGTACCAGTTCAAAAAGATGAACTCACAAAAGTGGAAGAGAATTCTGAAAGTAAGTATGACTGCAGGAAGGATTTTATTATGCCTGTAAGTGATTTATAAACTATACATCCCTTTATTAGGTACAGTGGTACCTCGGCTCACAAATGCCTCAGTTCACAACCAAATTGGGTCGCGAACAGAACTTTAGGAAAAAAATTTCCTCAGGTGGCGAACTCTACATTGGGTGACAATCGCGAGCATGCTGGGGCGGGGGGGCGGGGAGACAGGCGCAATTGCAACCGCACTCCTTCAGGGAAGATGGGCACGATCACGGTTGGGCTTGGGTGGTGAGATGGCAGTGATCACGCCCATCTCCCTGCACGAGCACCCACGATCACACCCGTCTTCCCTGTGATTTAAAAAAAAAAATTACAGAGCAGATTAACCTTATTTACATTGAACCTTATGGGGAAATTTGACTTGGCTCACAATCAGTTTGGGTTGCAACCTGAGTTGTGGAATAGATTAAGTTCGTGAGCCAAGGTCCCACTATACCGTGTGCTAAAATGTGTTTGGTTAGAGTACAGAGTCAATACTCCTTCCTTGCCAGCTGTGGTTAATTACTGAGTGTGCATTTCTATACATATTTATATTCCTTTTAAAATTATGTACCTGACAATCTTCATGATGGGAGCAAGATGAAAATGTTTTAATGAAATTGTTATCTACTTAAAGCCCTCTCATTGAATGCTGTTCATATCATTATACTGCAGTAATATTAGAGCTGGAAGGTCACCTAGTGGGGATGTTCATTGGATCTGGCTGACATCCTAGCTGAATCATGCCCCTTCAGACCATTCCTGGTGTTTCCCAAATAAAAGCAATCCTTTTTCTGAAGAGAACAGAACTTAGGCTGGTTCTTGTGTGCTGTTTCATTTGTTATTTGAACTTTAGACAGCAGACTATCTCCTTGAAAGTAGCATCTTTGGCTTTTGTTTCTCATAATGTTGATGTGGGGGAGGAATGAATGCGAGTAACTGCACAATAACTGAACACCTTCTAATCATGTTTCACTAGTAGTTCTCCAGTCACTACTTTGTGGGGAAGGGAAAGAAAGAACTGTGAGATGGCCAATTTTCAATTGCTACCAAGGCTTCACTGCAAAAAATACTTGAATTGGTTTTCAGTCATTATAAGCCCCTACACTTAACTTCCTGAAACTTCTCCAGTTTCTTGCCTGAAATAGCTGTATGATAAGTATTTTCATATCAATTACTCCAGAAACCATGGGGTCAGGGAAGGGGAAAATATTCATACCCCACAAGTACATGGAGAAGATTCTTCAGCCACATAAAGTACTGCATGTAACCTCCGGATACTTTGCATGTTTCCTGCTTAGGGCTATCTCTTGCCTGTCATTTTTAGAATGATGATACAGAAGGAACAGTGGGGGCAGGAGGAGAGAGAGAGAGAGTGTGTGTGTGTGTTTGATACCTCAAAATGTAAAAGTGGTTATTGCACAAAATCCCTGTACTTACTACTTATTCAACTGAAACTTTACAGACTTTGATTCATTCAGAAGGGGCAACTATCCCTGAAATTTTCATCCAATTCTTCCACCTTAAAGGAAACTGCCTAGTATTATGGCATTGTCTTGTGACTGTGGTAAAGCAGTGCAATTGAGTAGGGAGACAGAGACTTGGCTTTTGAGAGCAAAGTAAAAAGCTTGCTATTCTCAAGATGTAACTACACTGCAATTCCTTCACAGCTTGATACGTCATTCAAATTTCTCAGTCCATTATCAGTGTGATTAATAACTTTGCTTTGTAATTTCTGAAGGGATGTATGAAAAATGTTAATTATATTGAACTGACTGAACATAATTCTTGCAGTTTCCCCAGAGCCTAAAACAGAAGTGAAGACTCTCAAATGGGCAATTTCACAGTTTGCTTCTGTGGAGCGAATTGTGGGAGAAGATAAATATTTCTGTGAAAACTGTTGCCATTACACAGAAGCAGAACGTAGTCTTCTATTTGATAAAATGCCTGAAGTTATAACAATCCACTTGAAGTGCTTTGCTGCTAGTGGTTTAGAGTGAGTATTGTGAATATACCACATGAAAATCCTGTTACAAAAACTAAAAATTCAGTTGTAGGTTAATAAATTGGACAATTTGCTATTCCAAAGCATGTTAAGCCCTATTCAGCACTTTTCCTAAAGGGTTTAAATCGTCATGTGAAAGGGGATGCTACCACAAAGTGAAGGGTTAAGTGATGAGGCAGAGACCCTTGGTTTTTCAGAAAATCAGAGTTCTACATCACTTCTGAAGCCTGTAAGAGTAGGAAAGAATTCTAATTTCAGAAACTTCTCATTCACTTAATGAAAATTGATTGGAGTGGGTTATTCCCATTTTCACTCAGCCTGTCATATTGATTAAACATGGAACTATGCTGCAATGTGGCTGTAGTTTCATTAAAACTCTGCTACCATTCGAATGCTTGCACTAGCAATCCTTAAATCCTTCTGCACACACAACAGTTGGGAAGGCTGTGTATATCTGCTCCCAACATCCACACAAATGAGTCTGTAGGTACAACTGTGCATAGGCTCCTTACAAAATGGGAAATGTGTACATTCTGAATTCCTGAATGCAGTCCACTTGTGCTTGCTGCCAGTGGCTTAACCAAGCCTACTGAAGTACGCCTTGGTTTCCCTTCCAGAAATTTTGTGTTGCAGTATTTAGTTTTTAAGAGTGAGTAATTCCAGTGTCTCATATTCCATTTATCCTTAAAATTGTTGCCATACACTTTCAAGCATGACATTTATTAAAAATGATAACAGGCAAGTTAACTTGTAGAACTAATAACAATGAATGAGATGATTCTATCTTCAAAATATTTTGCTTTTTCAAAAGACTACCTGCATAAAAATGCCAATCATACCAAAAAACAGGAACACTTGTCACTACTGTTGCCATATAGTAGAGAGCTAGTGTGGTGTAGTGATTAAGAACATGGGACTGGAACTCAGGCAATCTGGGCTATAGTCCCCACTCAGTCATGGATCCAACTGAGTGATTTGGGCCAGTCATACTCTCAGCCCAACCAACCTCACAAGGTTGTTGTGGGGATAAGACATTGTAGTAGGAGGAGAAGGATCTAAGTCACTTGCGTTCTTTAATGAAAAAGGCAAGTTATAAATGAAATAAATGTCTTAATTATCAGACTTCTAAATTTTTATTATACAATAATGGATATTTTGAGTCTAGCACTTGAAATTTTAACCTGTCCTAGTTTTATTACTAAATGATGATCTAATTTAGTTTTAAAAGGAAAATTCTGACATTTCAGAATATGGATAGTATATAGCAAAACAAATCACATTCTGTGAATTTGATTTAAAAAATACTTGTCTGCTTTTTTTTTAAAAAATGTGAAAACCACTGTCTTAATCTAATAAGTATCTGTCACTTTTCTTCAAAAGGTTTGATTGTTATGGTGGGCTCTCCAAGATAAACACTCCTTTACAGACACCACTCAAGCTGTCCTTGGATGACTGGAGCATAAACCCAGCCAATGAAATCTATGGATTATTTGCTGTAGTGATGCACAGTGGCGTTACTATCAGCAGTGGGCACTACACAGCCTCTGTTAAACTTACAAATCTTGCTAGCTTAGAATTAGACAAATATAATTTCATCAGTGATCCTGTTTGTCCAGAGCCATCGAATGAAGAAGCTAGAGCTGTCACTGAAGACTATGATGATGGTGAGGTATCTTTTAGAATCAGTGGAAATGCCCAAGCAAATAAAGGATTGAACAAAAAGAATATAGAAGCAGTTGGGCTTCTTGGAGGACAAAAAAGCAAATCCAGTTGTGATTTGCCCAGTAGCAAAGCAACACATTCTGAGAAGATGACTAATGTCACTGGAATGAAACATGCTAACTGCAACCATGCTAAAAGTATCATGGAGCCTGAACATTGTGAGCAGACTGGTACTGTTTCTAATGGACTAGAAAATAAAGTAATGCACATAATGCAGAGCCTGAAAGAATATGAGGGAAAGTGGCTACTTTTTGATGATTCTGAAGTGAAGGTCACAGAGGAAAAAGACTTTCTTGACTTGTTGTCCCCCATTTCATCATCTGCATCTACTCCATACCTGCTATTTTATAAGAAAATTGCAGAGTGATGTTGTATTTTCACTATGTAAATAATAGCTTTGCATCAGATCAGCACTAAAGAACATCTGCTTACATTTTTGTGACTAAAGAATTAAATCCACTAGTCTATTCAATTTTGTAAAAATGAGACTTCTTTTTAAACTGGATAATTCACCTACAGATTCTAGACAGAGTACTATTGTAATACAAACCTGTATATTTCTTGAGGAATAAATGATATCCTAACAATACAGTAGCATATAAAATTGTTTCTAATTTTAATCACACTACTTGTATATTAGTTTTTTTTAAATAAAAATTATTTGTATTCATGTTCTGAAGTAAATTTGTAGTTCATATTAAAAAGAATCAAACTGCTTGCTGTAAAGGAAAATATGTCTTTATTCCTACACATGAGTCCAGTGTGCATCCAGAATCTAAACATCTGCTTAAATTGATCAAGTTCCTCCTCTACAACTGGCTGTTCCTCAGATACTCAAAGCAAAGTAAGGTATTGGGATATCCATCTCAATTTCAAAGTAGCAGAATGTGTTGTACATATCACAGTATTTTGGCTTTATTTCCATTTAACTGATTAATTGGTTGTAGTTCTATGTGTATCTTTTACGTGAGAATGTGGGACTACTGAATCTAAATTTCTAAATATAATAAAGCATAACATTCAGATATATGAGCACAATATTTCTTGAAGATGACATTGTTTCTATGCATTTGTACCATACAGGGAACTATGAATTGGGTTTGCTTCTGCTTAATGGTGAGCTACCAGCAGACCTGAATTGGACTATTTTTATTTTAGTACTACCCTAACAGTTGTGAATCCTCAAGATTCCATCACTTTTAAAATATGTCTTCTAAAACTACCTTGAACCTATGGGGTTACCAGTGTCAAGGCTGATAATAGCCATAACAGTACTTTACCATTTTTGCTTCCAGGTTTCTTCCAGGACCAACTTTAAGCTCTAAACAGCATGGACCTGAGTTTCTTGCAACCTTAACCTACCTGGATCTTAACACCATTGTATGTGACCTTTCTCCACGTGCCTTTGCAAAATAGTTGTGGCAGATGGTTACTTGAGAGAGAGAGATTTGTTAGTGGTAACAACCTGTTTGTGTAATAACTTTTCCAGAAAGACTGGTACCTGTTTTTTTGTCTCTTGATACCAGACAAAAGGCTTTTTATAGTCAAAAGTTTGTGCTTTAGTTTTAATGACAACAAAGTACCATTTGAAATTAGCAGCTACAGAGTATCTTGAAAAGTTGTTGGCTTTTTTTTTTTTTTTGCAGACCCACCCTATTAAGTCTACCCCAGTAGTCTGAGGCACAGACATAACCACACACATGGTGATATAACACAAACTATGTTTAAAAATGAAAGCGGTGTTTGTGCTGTTAGTGCGTCTTGCCTACCCACACTTGATGTCCTTTAGGATTTCATATTTAGAACAATGAATCTCAAAGTTGATGCACCATGAGATGTGTAAACATTCAAATATTTAATGGTACCATTAAAATAAACACTACATTAAAATACTTAGAATGCATTTGCAAATGTTCCTAATATAAATTAAAAATATGTACTAAAAGGAAATTTATTAGAGGATGCTATAAATAATATCTGATACACTCAGAGTACCTTTGAATATTAAAAAATGCTTTAAAAAACAGCTGTGTTGACAGTCTCACTTTGCATACTGTTTGCATACAGTACTTGACATACTGTTGGTGGAGTGGGGTTGTTTTATTCTGTTAGTCTGCATTTGACAACTTGGAAGAAAAGTTTGGCCAATGTGTGAGGTGTCCAGAAAAAAGTCCAAAGTTTTATTTCCAAATAAAACCTTTTAAAAAATTTGTGGTGTAGGTAATACTGTACTTTTTCAGTACCTTAAAAACCCTAATTGCCTTTTTAAGTGCTTAGATGTCCATTTTGCGAAGGCTCATTCTGCTGAAGGAATCTCTGGGGAAGAAAAAACAATGAGATAAGCCACTATCCTTAGAAGCTATGAATGACAGTATCATGTTCTCCAGTGGCAAACAACATTCCACTACACAAAGTGTTTTCATTTGCTCTATGAAATTAGCTAGCCCCAAATCAGTGTGACTTGTGAGAAAGCATGCAAACATGTTTCAAATGCACTGTAAATGCCACGTCCCTTAGACTAAAAGCTAGAAACAGAGAGCATTTGATGCCCCATCATCCTGTGTGCTTTTCCTTCAGTTTCCATTAATAGACACAATAGACATTATCCACTAGCCCTGTCTTCCATGTATGGAAGTGCTCCACTCACAGAAGGTGCCTCTGTCCTCACCATGGTTGACCCCTTTCAAGCAGGGCCCTGTAAACCTCTAGCATTTTCTGGGGAACGGAGAAGCAGCTTTGAGAAAGAAGAGCTATGAAAGTCTGGTTTTGCAAGCACAGTTGCAAATGCCTAAATCTGGATTCAGGCAGAACATTCTAAACTCCCAGTTTATTAGAAGGGATTCCAGCACACTTAACTCCCCACCACTGAATTTTAATTTAAAAAAAAATCAGAGTACTCCATTTTAGTGCATCATGTTGTGCAAACATGCCCTTATTCTATCCACACCAACTTAATTCTGTGATATTTGGAAGTCATATTTTAGTTTTATGTCATGAATTTTAGTAATTTTTATTTACTAATACTAAAGTATTTTAGTAATGAAACAAAACATAGCATTCAAGCAGGTCTACATATCTTTCTTCAGGCTTTCCTGCATTCTTTCTCTTCACATCTATTTTGTATGCAAAATCTGATGTTAGCCTTCTTAGATAAACAAGTGCCTGTGAGAATACTGAAACCTTTCCTATGGGTGTAGCTGGCAACTAAGATTGACCACTCCTGTCCTGGTGTACACTGCAGCCCAAAGGCCAGGAATTCAGCCATTTGTTGGCTGCTCTTCTGAAGAAAGACTAAGAAAGCTTAGAGGATTGGGGACAACCTGTGAACAATCTGTCAGTTGGTGACTGCTGCCATGCTCTGTGCAGGACAGGCTAAAAAGATCCCTATCTTTGAACCAGATGTGTAGGCAAGACATTATCAGTATCTTACTAAACTACAGATAGGAGTTTTCTGCTTGCACTCTCACACTCTCTTGCTATTCAGCAGTAATTAAAAATAGAAATGCATTAATAAGAAATGTTAACATATTAGAATGACCTGTGGCAAGCAGCAGGCAGGACAGCCTTGTATAATTGGGGGATTTTTCTATTGATCAGCGGCTGAAGTGCTTCCTTGAGACGGTGGTAATTTCTTTCAAGCTCCCGCTGATATTCCTTTTGGTCTGGACCAATCAGGCTTTTGTTCTTGCGCAGTGCATCTTCACACCTAGAAAATAAAATTTTATTGTGACAGTGTGAAAACGATCATAAACTTGAGTGGAGCTAGTTAGTGTTTTATCAATTCATCTTTGCTGATGTTTAATTTTCTTAAGCAACAACACTAATTGCACTTTCTTGGAAACAAATTCCCCCCAAATTAATGACATTAGCTTCTAGGGCAGTGTGACTGCAATCCTACCTCAACTGCTTTTTTACACAATGACACATTCACCTTGCGGTTTCTTAGAAGAAATACCTCTCATTCAACCTGGAAGTACTATTTCTCTAAAGCTGTTCAGCGGTATTTTTGAAGAAGTATGTCCACTGCTCCTCTGACCAAGTGGTTGGCTATGCCCTATACAAAAATTCTCTGATATTTTGCACAATGTCAACTAAAGAACACAATCCGAAATGCTACGAGGACAGAGCCTTTCTGTCTCTTCTATTTTATTTTAATTAAATTAAAAGTATATATTAATTAAATTATATTAATTAAATTATATATCATTCGTATGCCATCCAATTACTTGCATCTCTTGACGGCTTACAACATAAGTAAATTGACCCACTCTGGCTGCAAGTTAATAAAGTACAACAATAAAATACAATATTAAAACATATTAAAATATTGATTAAATAAAAAGGTCTTAACCTGGTGCCGAAAAACATATAATGACGGCGCCAGGCGGACCTCTCTAGGGAGCGCATTCTTTAATGGCACAAATGCTCAATGCACACGTACCTTGCTTATACAAGACAGAGGGCAAGCCCTGGAAAATGCAGTTATTCAGAGGGCTTTTTAAATATACTGTCAAATTATATTGAACTGAATTAAGAAAGCAGCATAGAGAAAGCGAAAGGTGGGACAGGACTCCTGACACACACATAGCAGTGAGCAGCATGTCAAATCCATGATTTTTAGAACAGTTAAAAAAGTTTAGTAAAACCAACACAATACCTTTTTGTAAAGTCTTTGAAACAAAGTCGTAGTTTGTTATGGTGACGGAAGAGTTTAGGATCATTAGGTATTTCAGACAAGAACACCTGTGCAACCTCTAGCGGTCCCTTAATAGAAAACGAAGATTGAGAGAAATTTCCTGAAGAATCTGCCACTGCAATCATTTGACATACATAAAAGCTTTCATAAACGTGAACGTTCCTTTAAGCCACCACCCTGCTAGAGGCCTTCAGAAACACAGTGGCAGAGGTATCTGTCCACTGGTGGAAGAATCAGGAGGAGAGCAGCAGCAGCAGGATTTTCCTGGCTAACTCTGAGAGAACATGTCGGTTTGCCATGAGTTGAGAAAGACAGAAATTCAATACCCAACTGTTTTCTACATGCTCAGAGGCCAGGGCTGGCAGAGTCATCTATATGTATTTATTTCACAACCTCCTTCCTGAAGACATCCTGCACAGTTAAAACCACAATGCACACACTGTTGACCTGTCCTGACTTGGCAACTTGCATTTCTGCTTGTTTCTGAGATTCTTTTATAAAGTGCGAATTCTCCATTGTGCAAGCAGTGAATTCCACTGGTGCAACCCAATCAGCAGGAGTGCAGCATCACTCTGGGTACTACCCATAATTCTTTCATTAATGCTCATTATCGAATGAAGCCATTTTGGCTTTTTTGTAAAATAATCAAGCCCACCTTTTTTCATAAGCAAATGCAACTTTGTGATCAAGAAACTGCTAAGCATATGAGCTCTGTAGACTTACCTGATTTACTGTTGTGCCTACTGACCCCTGAAGCACCATCTGGAGCATCTTTGGATCTGCTGGATCTTGATGTGTTGCAAAAGCCAATTCTTGGGTCTTTTTCTGCATGTCTTCAATGGCAACTTCAATGGGTGTCAAAATTATCTAAAGAGACAAACACCCAGTAATACACAAGTGCTTAGGAAAACATTATGTATTTTCCTTTTCATTCTGGTCACAAGAAACTGCACTTAGGATGCAGTCCTCTATCCATTGACTAGGAGTAAGCTCTACTGAACCGAGTGAGAACAACTTTCTCATATGCATGCACAGGATTTCACTTTTAAGGCACCATCTAATGGGGCTGCTGCACTAAAGAAACTTGATATAATTAACAGAGCAGCCTATGCCAATAACATAAACTGGCATGGTGGATTGCCTGTAAAGTCTGTCCCAAGTGGAGTATTTATGCTATTAGCATTGTATTAGAATTTGCTTAGGGTAGCGCTATGTCAATTGCCTGAGCACAGCTGCCCCGTTGCATGCTGCCTTAAGGCTGCAATCCTAACCTCACTTGCTGGGAATAAGTATCACTGAACTTCATGGAACTTACTTCTGAGCAGGCAAAGCTAGGATTTCACTCTTAGTTTCCTGAATACAGAAAAGAAAGAATTCAGGTATTTCTCAGTTGCTGGATGTAGCGTATTACTAGGAAGCAATCGTATGGTTCCTGAACAGTATCTGAAAGTCCACGGGGTACTTTGGATTCCCAGATCTGAGGTTTTAGACAGTGCTTTGACTTTGTGGAAGGAAACTGCAATCCAACCCACCTCCCCCTTGCAGCCAGCATGGAAAGAATCATGCCAGTTGCCTCTCCAGGGTCAAAAACATGATATCAGAGAGGGGAAAGGGGTGTTTTGTGGTGTTGGGCAGGAAGGAGATTGGGGAGAACAGGATGAGTTACCCTCCCCCTCCAAAAGGCAAAAAGCCCATCTAGCAAATATGTAAAACAGAAGGACAGGAAGACCGATATTGCTCTCTTGTTCCTTTTACCCTGCACAGAATGATCATGAACCTCTGTGATCAGGTGCTTACATTCACAGAGGACTGCACCCTTAAAAAATTAAAGCAGAGTTTCCAGCCTGGTATTATGTGGACAGATTGCTGCCTAGTTTTCTCAGTGATCTCATTCTAGGACTCCTCTAATGTTCAAAGAGAGAAAAATCTGAGCACGATATACTAGGCTTTTGTAACAGAAAATGTGAACCTGAACTAAAACCTATCTGGGAAAAATGCAATGGCTTCAGAAACTAAATTTTAGGAAGTATAATTTAGCAGGTAGCAGACAATTCTTTTTCCACTGACTGACGAGACTCTTCTGTAGTACAAATGTCAAGTAATGCAATGTCCTGAATGAATGCCAAATACATAATATGTCATTCCATACAGGAGCAATGATAAAGCCAAGAATTTGATCTGTCGCATACAACTCTCAAATAAGCAGGTTGCTTACCTGTAACTGATGTTCTTCAAGTGGCCATCTGTGCAGTCACACATATGGGTTCTGCGCCTGCGCAGTGCCTTTGGCCAGAAGATTGACAGCTAATGGTTTTTGGCGGGAAGCTCCACTCCCCTCTCCCATGGCCTATAAAGAGCGGAGCGTCCGCCATTTTATTCAGTCTTTGACGACCGAACGTGCGCCCCCTTGTGGAAAAATTTTCAGTATGAGATAGGGGAAAAAAAAGGGATCGGTACCAAGAAAACTGGGAAACTTTTGGTACCGATGAATGTGTCCACTCACCGACACCGAGTGGGGCCAGCGGGTGGGTTGTGTGACTGCACAGATGGCCACTCAAAGAACATCAGTTACAGGTAAGCAACCTGCTTTTCTATGTCGTGGCCTCTGTGCATCACACATATGGGTAGATTAACAAGCTTACCATCAAAGGAGGAGGGAAGGTATCCTCATTGTAGGACGGAGGAGAGAACAGCTCTACCGAAGGAGCAGTCCCGTCGAGCCCAAACATCGAGATGGTAATGCTTGGAGAAAGTGCAGGGATTCGCCCAAGTAGCAGCTCGGCAGATGTCATCAATCGGAACTCCAGATGTGAATGCAGAAGACGTAGCGACAGCTCTAGTAGAATGGCCTCGGGGAACTGTAGGCAGTTCGAGCTTAGCTAACTGATAACACAAGATAATAGTGTGGACTATCCATTTAGAAAGTCTTTGTGGAGTGACTGGGTCACCCTGATCCCTAGTAGAATATTTGATGAATAGTTTGTTGGATCGTCGAATAGACTCTGTTCGCGATCGATAAAAGGCTAAACAACGTCGAACATTGAGGGAATGCAAGGATCTTTCTAAAGGATTCGACGGTGATGGAAAAAAGGCAGGCGGTACAATGTCTTGTCCTATATGGAAAGGCGTAGAGACTTTGGGCAAGAAAGATGGGTCGAGACGCAAAACGACCTTTTCTCTGTGGAAGTTTAGGTAAGGAGAGTCGATGCGAAGAGCGCAAAGTTCACTGGCCCTCCGGGCTGACGTGACAGCTACAAGGAATGCTTTTTTCCAAGAAACTAATCAGAGATCCACCTTTGCCAAAGGTTCAAAGGGAGACTTCGTAAGGGCCTGTAGAACTACAGAAAGGCTCCATGTGGGCATAACCGGCCTAACTGATGGATTAAGATTATACAGTCCTTTCATAAATCTCTTGAAGATAGGATGCGAAAATAGAGGTGATCCGTCAACTAAGCCACGGTGATAGGCTATTGCGGCCGTATACACTTTGATGGAAGACGGCTTCAGTCCGGAGTGATGCAATTCCAGGAGGAACTGAAGAATTTGTTCGATTGATGGGACGAGTGGGGAGAATGAACGAGACTCAGCGAAGGCGGAAATACATTTCCATTTTGCCATATATGACTTCCTTGTGGACGGCTTTATGGCAGAGTCTATAATATGCTGAATCTCGGGGTGCAACAACGTTGGGTTTGAATTGAACGTGGCCTGTCTCGATCCGGATGGTATGGAGAGACCATGGCCGTGAGGAGCACCCGAACGGTTGGATCCGAAAGTCGGAACGGAAATGGTCGAAATCGTCGTCGGTACCGACGGATTAGTAGAAGCTCTCGCGTTCGTTGCAGCCGAATACGTCGTCGGCCCCAATGGAACGTCATCGAATTCGCTACGCTGTCAGGTTCAATGAGGGCAAGTCTGGGTGACGAAGTGTGCCATCCATTTGCGTTATAAGGTATGGAAACGCTGGAAGATGAAGAAACTCCCCACGGGAGATGTTGAGCAGTTTCGCAAACCACACTTGGCATGGCCACCAAGGGGCAACTAGTATCCCCGATGCACGGTCGCTCACTATCTTTGCTACGACCTTCATCAAAAGAGGGATCAGAGGAAAAGCATAGAAGTTGATGTTGCCCCAAGGGATCATGAATGCGTCCCCTAGGGATGCTTGTTCAATTCCCGCTCTGGAACAGTAAGTCTCGCATACCCTGTTCTGTTGGGTAGCGAATAAGTCCACATCGGGGAACACCCAGCACCTGAACAGGTAGTTGCGCGTGCAAGGGTCCAGTTCCCACTCGTGAGAAGTGAAGATGTGCCTGCTGAGAAGATCCGTGTGCACATTGTCTGTGCCAGCCAGATGAACGGCCATCAGAGTGATGTGTCTCTGAATGCACCAGTCCCAAATTCTCATAGAAAGCCTGGCTAAGGTCGGTGACTTCGTCCCTCCCTGTTTGTTCAGATAAAAAACGGTCGCTATATTGTCCGAAGTTATCTGAACGATCTGATGATGAAGGAGGTCTTCGAAAGAACGAAGGGTCTTGAAGACTGCCAGTAGCTCCAGGAAGTTGATATGATTCATGGATTCTAGACGAGTCCACGTTCCCTGGGTAGACAGGCCAGAGCATATCGCTCCCCATCCTAGAAGAGACGCGTCGGTACCCAGAGTTATCGTAGGAGGTCGCGCCCTGAAGGGGACTCCCATCACTAGATTGGTCAGCTTCAGCCACCAGCATAGGGAGTGGAGCAGGGAAGACGGGATCCGAATCAGTTTCGATTGTGGGTCCCTTTGAGGATGATACACCTTGTTGAAGAATAGTTGTAATGGGCGAAGCTGAAGTCTGGCATGTGGAACTACGGCAACCGAGGAGGCCATATACCCCAGGACCCTCTGGATGGATCTCGCCGTAACCATTCCCTGTCGACGGATTCGATGGATATGGTGAGCAAGGGTCTGCTCCACCGAGGAAGGAAGGCTTTCTCCAATGTCGAATCCAAGTGGGCTCCAATGAAGGTGAGCATCTGTGTCGGGAGAAGAGAAGATTTCTCTGTATTAATACGCAGGCCCAAACTATCTAGTAAGGTACATGTTGAATGGATGGCATCCAAGAGTCCTTCTCTGGACTGCGAGACCAACAGCCAGTCATCGAGGTACGGGTAAATCTGTATATGCCCTGAAGGCGCAGGAAGGCACAGACAGGAGCCACACATTTGGTAAAAACTCTCGGGGCCGTAGCCAGTCCAAAGGGTAGAACTGTAAACTCATAAAGTTGATTTGCAATCGCAAAACAAAGGAAACGCCTGTAAATTGGATGAATTGAAATATGAAAGTAGGCGTCCTTCAAGTCCAGTGAGGCGAACCAATCCCCTCTCCTCAACAACGGCAAAATGTTTTGAAGGGTGGTCATACAGAATTTTTTCGGTACAATAAACTTATTCAAGTTCCGTAAATCCAAAATCGGACGTAGACCACCATCCTGCTTGGGAACCGTAAAGTATCTGGAATAGAATCCGTTAAGTCCGCCAGAAGGAAATACTTGGCGAATCGCTCCTTTTCGGAGAAGTTGGTGTATTTCGTCGAGAAGTACCGGTGAACATGAAGTAGACTGCATCGGACTCGATGGAGGAACGATATCGAATTCTATTTGATAGCCGTGTTGAATAATGGATAATACCCACCGGTCAGATGTGATGGACTCCCAAATGGGGAGTCAGCTCCGGAGCCGATCCCCAGATAAGAGAGGGGTGGGTATTTGAGGAGTATGAGGAGTGGTTCGCCAATCCCATCAGCGCTGCCTGCGATCGTCAAATCGGTGACAGCCCTGCTGGTATCTTTGTTGAGGTTGCTGACGGCGGCGTTGCTGTTGCTGTTGCTGCCTATGTTGAGGCTGTTGCCTGGGGTGATATTGCTGCCTGTAGGGCGGACGATTCCATGGCCACTTACATTTAGGCAGTGACTGACGCTCCATTCATCGGGCTGTCATCCGAGACTCATGGAGTTTCTTGAGCTTGTGGTCCGTCTTAGCGTGGAATAGCCCGGACCCATTGAAGGGCATTTCTTCGATGCGCCGTTTGGTCTCTTCAGGGAAATTGGCGCTCCGTAGCCACACATGTCTCCGAAGAGAGACGGCACCAACCGGTGCCCTCGAATTGGAGTCCACATGGTGCCTGGCTGTGGACAATTGCTGCACCGCCACGTGCATCGCCTCTTTGATGAGGATCTTGGCCAATTCGCCCTGTTGATCCGGGAGGGCCGAGACGACGTTGTTGAGATGCTGCATTATGAAATACTGGTATCTCGCCAACGTCACCTCGTAATTAGAGATACGCAGTCCCAAGCCTGAGGCTGCGTAAACCCTCCTGGCCAGTGCATCTACCTTGCGGCCCTCCTTGTCTCTCGGCACGGTATGACCCCTTGCCTCTCTTCCCTGGGAGGACTCCACCACAACCGAGTTCGGCTTGGGGTGTCGGAGGAGGAATGGAATGTCCTCCTCCCAAACCCGGTACATGGCTTCGTACCTCCGGGATGTAGGTTGAGGATGGGATGGCAAGTCCTAGGGCTGGGTCATCGCCTGCCGCAAGGTGGTAATCAGTGGCAGGACGATGGAGGTGGACTGCTCCCTGCGGAGGTCATATATTTTGTCCGTAGACGGCCCTGGCTGTTGGACGGCATCGACGTCCAAAGATTGGACAAGCCTGCCCATCAGCTCCACAAAGGACACATGTGACTCGTCCGGTGATGCGGGGCCCTGGGAGGTTACCGCGGCATCAGGAGAGGTCGAATCCAAATCAGAGTCATCGGAATCCGCGCTGTAATAAGGAGGAGCCAAAGAGGAAGACTCTGCTGGTGAGACAGAGCGGCTGCTATCATCCCGTGGTACCGGGGATGAGCGCCTTGGATCTGGATGCGGCGAGTGGTCACGAAGGTGAAATTGTGGTTGATCCCTTGGAGCGGGATAGTATCCGGTCGAGTATGGCTCGTCCCAAGGTGGATAGTAGGGACGATGCCAGTCCTCGACCCTCTCGGACCACTGCTCCCTAGAATGGCTTCTGCGGGTCCTAGGTGGGGTGTCAACCACATCTGCCTCCAGCGTAGCCGTGGGCATAGGGGTTGGTGACCTAGCCCTGGGGGGAGAGTCCTGGATCTCTCCATCTGAGATCGAACCCCGTTGGACAGCTGGCGGCGGTTCAACCAGGGGGTCAGCCACATGGCGAGGAGACCCTTGAGAGGTGACCCTCATGGCTGCCTGGATCGCCGGCTCGGGTGGTGTTGGCACGGTAGAAGGCGCTGGTACCGACGCTACTGTCGAACCTGAGGTACGGTGTCGGGGTCGATCCGGATCCTTAGCCTTCGGGGTCGACTTAGAAGGCTTCTCCTTCCTGGCCTTTTTGGCAGGTTTTACAGCCTCGGCATGCTTGCGCTTCTCCCTTTTTTTCTTAGGAGAAGCTGGTGGGGCCCTCAAAGCAGAGACACCTTCATCCGATGGACGGGAGGGCGGTACCACTGCAGCCGGGCCAGGCTTTGGAGCAGTGACCAATGGGTCAGACTGCATGAGAGCCCGATCCCACAGGAGTCTCCGGAGGCGGTTCTCCTGGTTTTTTCTGGCCTGTTTGGAGAAGGTCAGACAGTGGGAGCACCTGTCAGCTCTATGCCCCTCCCCCAAGCAGAGGAGGCATAGATCGTGCGGGTCGGACGGAGACATTTTCAACCCGCACTCCGCACACTTGCGGAAGGCCGCTCGCTGCACCATCACAGAAAGAACGAGAAGAGAAAAGGAGACAGTGCAGAGGGTAAGAATATATTTTTGGTTTTTTTTTTTTTAGAAGGAGAGATGGAACACTAGAATGATAGAAGAAACTAGAAATTACAAGAGTTTTAGGGATATAAAAACTGGGAATGAGAAGAAGGCAATAGCTACGAGGAAACGGTCAAGCGAAAGACGAAAGTGGCACGAGGCACAGCGAACGGCGGTCGCAAAGACTGAATAAAATGGCGGACACTCCGCTCTTTATAGGCCATGGGGGAGGGGAGCGGAGTTTCCCGCCAAAAACCATTAGCTGTCAATCTTCCGGCCAAAGGCACTGCGCAGGCGCCGAACCCATATGTGTGATGCACAGAGGCCACGACGAAGAACAACCTATTAATCAACCAATTGTGCAGTACATCTTGATCCGTAAAGCATTGATACTATACAGTATTATAATACATACAGAGATTCCCTGCTCTGGTCCTTCCACAAGCAGGTCTCTTTGATGAGTGGAATTCAAGGTAAAAAGACAGTGTAAAATACCAATATATTTTAACTTAAAGCTCTTCCTCCCATTCCAACTTTTCAGCTTTTAGGAATAGGAAAAAACCAGCAAACCAGCGAATGATTGCATAGTGAGGTGAAAGGGGAAAGATCACATGAAAAACCCTGAAGGATTAGACTGCTGGGCTGGAACTGGCCTACATATGTGAGGCTCAACACCCCTGCTCCACATGTACCATGTGCCATTTTTTGAATGTCACTGCTCCAGAGTCTCTTTCGATATAGAACATCATAGAAATACTGTAAATACACATATGCATATATATACATGGAGCTCCACAACAGCAGAGGGGTAGCATGTTCTCTGAAGGTTATCTGCATAGCATCTGGGGAGGGCCTATTGCCATTCCTTCACCAAACTGTTGTAGCACTGCCAGCTGAATACAAGAACTGGGAATGTAACCCCAGTTCAGGGTAAGCAGGGGAACATATTTTGACCTTCCCTGTTTTCTCTTCGTGTTGCCTTCCCCTTTGTTGTTGTTAGTTTCAAAGTCGTGACTGACCCATCACGATCTCATTCCTTCCCCTTAGTCGGAACTTAAATTTCAAATTCCTCAGGGCAAGGTTCTATCTTTGTGATCACATTGCTCTGGAAGTGCCCTGAACATTGATGTTCATAAGAACAGTAGCGATCATCACGACTTTTTGACCACTGAAGCAAAGGTTCCTTTGGTTACTCAATAAGGTTACACCTTTGAATAATCTGCTAGCTGAAACTGTGCATTGAACTATTATTTCCTCCTCTACTTCCTCTCTTTTATATTTACCATGACAGATATAGTGGACTCACCTCTTCCTTATGAATGACATTTATCCTGGTTTTGATGTAAGGGAAAGCATGTGACGTTGTTAAGATTGTCTTCCTCTTGAACTGCTCGTGAAGCTCACCATGAGCTCTGCCATCTAGCGTGAAGGGTGTACAGTACATGAATCGTCGCAAATTGTAGTTCTTGTCAAAGTAAGTTATCCTGTCCTTCATTTCATATGTGTCAAAGTAGGGCTCCACATAGGTTATTTGTATATAGGCCTAATGAAAAAAGTGGACTCACAGGAATATGGCATACACACATAACCAGACAACTAATAACAACTAGTAACAGTAACAACAACAACGTATCACTCACTACTAGACAAAGCTGGGAGTGCACTGATGGAGAGAACCAGCTTGCCTCCACTCCATCCTCACACTCTCAGCTTGTTTCTCAGATCTCCATCTTGTCTACATCACCCAAGAGTGATATGGCCAAGAGAGCACTTGACCCTCTTTGCTTTGTGTACTAGAGTCATGCTGGCCCCTGTGTTGTCTCCAAGCACCTCGTTTTTCTCCCAAAAGTCCCACTTAGGTGTCCTCCTGTGCCTCCCTCAGTTTCTTGAGAATGACCCAGGTGGCAGCTTCTGTGCCCAACCCACTTCTGAAAGCCTAATGGGTACCACCACCTCCTTTACTACTGTGGCCTCAGAATGTCAGCTAGCAATTTCACTTTTAGGTTTAATCTGGTGCTACGAACCCTACTACCTCTTCATCTGACATGATTCTGACAGATCATAATGGAAAGATGTACAAGATCCCACTCTTTCTCCAGCTTCCAGAGTTCCTCTTTCAGAAACACTGTTGTGCACCTGCCTTCGGCTTGCTGCTGTCATCTCATCTCTCTTTATTTGAGGTATCAGATACCTTGCAGTTTGTTTGTTATTTCACCTTATTAATAAAACCTCCTTTCTGGAAAAAGCTCTAGCTTTGCCCCAGTTATTCCCACCTGTGTACTCTATTAGGACACTCTGCCATCTAAACAGAAGTTCATAATTCTACCAGCATAGTGCTCCTGTGCATTTTGTAAAACAAGATGGTGGAAGGCTAGGTTAGTTGAATGCCCTTTTCATGTCACTTCTGTTCCAAAGACAGCCCAGCTCCTAGCTGTATTCTATGGAGTTCATTGTAAACACAGGATATATTCCCCTATTTTAGCTAGTATACATTTGTGATGTGGAGCCAGTTGCAATATTGTAAAACACAAGTTGCCCCACCCTGAAAATAATTTTAAGAAATGGTACAATAATGTATTAATCTCTAAAAGATGCCTGTCTGAAAGCAGCTATCTATATCAAGATCCAAGGACTGGTATAGATAACAAGTTCAGAGAAGATCCTATCTAGCAAGGAGTGGGGCTAGCACCATCCTATTCACTTGTTTATTCCCTGGGAGAAGGAGATATGGCGGTGATGTACAAGCCAGAAACAGGCCATTGCTCATATGAGATACAGAAAAGTTTAGCCAAAGAGGGTCTCAAGATACAGTTTCAACCTGAGATTATTGGTGTCTTACCTTGTTGGCATCTAATTTACATTTGTCAACAGGATTGGAGTCCTTAATAACCTCAACAACATCTTCACCAAACCTTTCTCCATAAAACCCCTGTAAACAATTAACAATAAATATAACATAGAATCAGAACTCAAAGATTTGGAATGAAAGACTAGCACAAGAAATTAGTGAATTCACATGAAAATTCAGCTTCAAGTTCTGCCAGAAACAGCAACAGTGATTTGGTGAAATGAGAACTAATTTTCAGTCACAGTCCCTCTACCAAAAAGGGGCAACATTAGGAACCATGTCTAGAAGCCTATTTTGCCCATTAATTCCTCCTCTCATTGTCATCTTATATTCTAACCGATAAAAGTACCCAGTTTGCAGCAGAACAGAATCTACAAGGCTACACAACCTATATGCTACTAGAAATCTCAGTTCTCCAACTGTCAACTCTTGTGTGGCCAAAACACAACACACAGGAGGGAGATATCAGCAGGGTTAAGAGAATTACAAGGTTTGTACAACAACACCTTTAGGGAAAAAAATACTGGGGACAGGAAGGAAACTTCAAAACAACGAGGCCTCAGCATTCTCAGTAGCAATGGAATGCTAAGCATTGAGCAGGGGTGAATCAAAAATGAGGAGAGAATGGAATGGAGTGTCTAGAAAAATGGCATGGCAGGTGGGAGCACTAAACAGGTGCACTCCATCCTAAAACATCTAGTTGCAAATCCCACTTGTCTCACCCTGAAGCACATGGTTTTGTAAAACTGTCAAGTCTTGTTCCTTGGTTTTGTAAAACTGTCAGGACCAGGGTCTGACATACCCTGCAAGTGTCTGCAGAACAAGGAATGCCTTTGCAGGTGCTTGCTGGGAAAACCTGAGAGGCAATTATGCCATGCAGCTGCAGCCCTGGAAACAAGATTAAAGTCTGCTCTGCACAACTGCTCCTTGACACAGCAACGTGAGTTGTCTCTGTGATTCTCTTGTGCTCTGCTCCTCTGCATCACTATGGCTTGAACCTTGTTCCCATTTGTCACTGCTTGTTTCAGTGTGTTCCTGCCCTGCTCCTCGTTCCAGTTGGTCCTCACAGTGCTCCAGCATGCTCTTGTCTGTCCCTATGGCCTCCTTGCTCCACCTTGACCACCTTTATGTGACTGCTCCTGGCATTTGACAACTGGACTGTTTCTGGGCTGTGCTCTCTCTCTCTCGTTCTGTATTGGACTGCCTGCTGCCTTGTTTCTGAACCCAGACCATTGACCATGCTGCCAGTCGTACCCAGCCTCGCAGCAGTGCCCTGGTGACCCAGAATAGGATTGCCATGTTTGCTACTTCCCCTACATCCCATGCCAACCTCAGGAAAAGTGGTTTTTGACAACCCTGCAATGGCATCCCCATATTACAGAAGGAGCATATCTGTTTCCTAGTAGGAAGAGTAATTTGAAATGAACCTGGCAGTAATACAAGTTGCATCCTGTCAAATCCAGCAAATATGCCATTTATTCAATTTCCAGGAGGGAAAAAAATCAATACAGCATCAGCAGTGTAGAAATTCAACAGGAAGGGCAACATCCCGAGATGAAAGATTAAGACAAAATATTGAAAACAGAATTAAGAATCACTTAAAATGAAGGGCAGTAATAACCTGCTTGGTTAGACACAAAATGTGCATTAAGACATAAAACATGGAAGCCCATGTTTATTCAAGGTCCCATGTATATGTTCAGATTCTACATCTGCAAAGCAATGGCAAATTTAGCAAACATGGAATTTTGCACCCTGAATATCCCAGTTTTTACTACAACAGCTAAAAATAAGGGTTTATCCTTAACAATATGAAGAATGGATTGTATGTATGTAGGAAATACCTGGTGAATGGTCAATAAAGCCAAATCAGGAATCCCAGCAATTTAGGTTATTTTTAATGGCAGGGAATAGTTTGGCCTTGAGGGATCTTCTTTCCATACACACTAAGTGTAGTCAGATGGGCTGCTTTGCCTTTCTTGCAACACACATGGTTACATGATGTATGTCAGGACTGCAGCTATGTGAACAAAGAGACAACTCCAATGCCTTGAACGTGAGGGAATGGTGAGAGTGAGCTTGCCCTTTTAGATACTCCCCGTAAGCTCATGCAACTGTAGGGCCAATAATTTAGCTTTTCTATGGGAATCTCACCTCTAATCGATGAGAAATTTCAGCCAGTTTTGTTATTGCAGGTTCCTTGTAAACAAATTCCTGCTCATCCAGGTCTCCAAATTTAGTCCCGTAAAAACCAACACGGAAGTATGTGCCAAACATCCGCTTACCATCCTAGGTACATCAAGAGAAACAGTATTTTAATACAAGGATTCACTCCCATATTGTAATTATGGTTAAATTCCCTCTTTAAAACATAACGCCATGCAAGAATAAACAAACTAATCAGAAGGACTGAAGGTAAAACAAACTACAGAGCTGAATTTTTTTTTTTAAATCCCCTCAAAATTAGATCATACATTTACAAGTTTATGGTGCAGCTAGTTCCAATCACGCAATGGGATAAAATCCAGTGGCTCAGCTCTGCATAGGAATAACAGAACAACTTTTGACCTATAGAATGCAATACTGGCGATGGCTTAGGTGGCAACCTTTCAAACAGAATGCTTCTTTACTGAGTGGTGGTGTTGTTAAGGTTTAACACAGGCTACCTTTGCATGACTTTGGATTTTGACCAAGCAAAATGTTTGTATCATGGAGATTTGTGTCACTCCCAAATTATTAAAAAGTCTTGCTGGGTCAGCTGTTCACTTACATGCTACGGATTTGCAGGGCTGAGGCCTAAGCACTGGAATGGGCTTTGTCTATCCCAGATGGTTGTAGAGAAAATGCATGTAGAATAGTTGCCATTAGCTGTGGCACATAGATTACATTTGAACTGGGTGTCAGGAGATCTGGGTTCCAGTCCCATTCAGCATGTTTATCAGATGACTTTGGGTCTAAACTAGCTTACAAGGTTGTTGTGGGAATAAAATGAAGAAGTACAGAATTACATAAACCACCTAGCAGAGAAAAAAGGTAAGATATAAATATAATATAGTATAATTATATAAATGCCTTTTAGGAAATGTTTTTGTCATTTGTGATAATGGGCTAAGCCATGGCTGGAAGGCTACAGAAGTTGACTTGGCTGAAAGGAAGTTTCCTCCCCATAACATAGTGCCACAGTGTCACCTCAAGCCTGCATGTGATTTCTTCTCTATGCGAGCAGAGTCTAGAATTAAGAGTACCATGGCAAATATGCAGTTGTTCTTATCATTTCATTCTCTAGCTGGTGTGAAAGCAAGCTGGGTGACTTAAGTAGCATGACCATCAAATGCTACTAAAGCCACAATTCCAAAGCTCAGTTTCTGCATCCAGCCATAAAATGTTGATACCACTGGGTTATCTGGCTATTTACAATGGGAAGATTTTCAGAGCCAGCACTAGAAAGGAGAATTGTATCATATCACCCCCCATGCAGTGGTATGGATTATTCTGGTGTTTTTCCTCCATGTTCATCCATCTTTTCTGTTATGGGGCACATACAATTCCTCTCCCACATTTGTTTATGACCGGACAGAGTTGAGGTACAGAGTAATATGCTGGATACCCACTAACTTCCTTCTCTATTATGGAACTGATTTCACAAGTGGGTTGTATCTAATGTTAGTCTGACTCAAAGTAGACCCACTGAAATGAATAGGACTTAATTTACATTAACACTTGATAAAAGCTAGTGATACATAAGTACGTCGCAACAGTAGTGAGTGCATCATTTCCAGGGCCAACCACAGCTGTAAACTCTCCTTTGGGGCATCCTGCATTTCCTTTATTGGGTTCCTGGAAGTTTCTCTCATTTGGACTAGTGGTACACTGTGGTCAGTTAACACACCCAACACACATGCCAATAAAATGGGAAAACACATTTTTGTGGAAGACAAAATATCGCTGAAAGAATACAACAAATGGTTTAAAAGGAAAACCCCACACTAGCAGCTCCCCTTTCCAAATCACATATAAGAGTTCACACTGCATGCACAAGTATAGCGAAGAAAACAACTCCAAATGTTCACCTTTACTCTCAAGGCATTGTTATGCTGTAGTACTCAGTGCATCCCCTCTTTCTTTGTTAAATTTTATCAGTTGGACTTTGCATCCCATCCTATCCTGATACTTCTGGACTAGTAATGTTTCAGAAGATGATAGTGTTTAACAAATGAACTATAGAAGACTTATTTTTAAAGAAATGTTAAATAAGGCTTTCCATTTTGCATCAGAACAGAAAGAGTGGGCAGTGATTGTGCAGAATCTTCAGGTGTTTTTCTGGTGCAGATGGAAGAGGTGGTGGGGTGGAATTTTTCTCCAGTCCTCTGTTGTTGCTGTAGCTCCTAATGCCACCTTAAAACTCTGGAGTGCCCCAAACCTCTGAAACAGTATGGAAGATTGCACTGGGAATTACAGGGAAAGGGAGAAAATTACTACCTTCTTTCCTTCCCCCAGATGAAAGCATGCACAGGATGCCAGTTCCCTCTGTAAATGGAAGAAGCCTTTCTTTTTGTGGAAGTAAATACCTAGATTGAATCCAGTATCCCAATGTTGTTGGTAAGAGGAATTTGGGGATTGTGCCCATTTCTCCCAAAATTCAGCATTCCATCTGACTAGTTCAGACTCTGAATGTGAACTGGAAGAAGAAATGAGGTCAGAATTCTTAGTTGAAATGCCAAGGGCAAAGAACTTCTAGATGAACAAAACCACTGGTGGGAACAAGATCACCTCTGGTTTAGGGGGAGACACCAGAAAACAGGGAGTGTTAGATGGGTAGGGTTGCAACTTGATCAGTCCAGTTGTTTGATGTCAGGTTAAGAGAGTTAGCCAATTAACTCACATCCAGCATTCCCATCCTTTGGCCCACAAGCAGCATGAACCTTCCTGAAGGTGGAGCAAACTCCATTTGATGGGGAGGGGAAGAAGGGAATTCAGTTTGGAATCAACTTCTATCATGGACAGAACACAATTTGCAGGTTCATTAACTTGATAGATGTTTCTTGCTAATGACCTTTATATTACCCTCTTTGTATCACAAAGCCAGTCCTGGATGCTTTAACATAACGAAAGAATGTAGCTAGAAGCCTCTGTTTTCAATCTGCTGGGAAGCAAAATGTGAGAGGTTGCAGATGGGGAGACCACCTCATGACAATCTTCATCTTCATTCATAGTGAAGATGAAGACACATACACACCTAGGTCAAACCATTTAGGATCTTATAATTCAGAATCAGTTTCTCAGACTGTTCCTGAAATATTAAAAAGTCAGTGCAAAAGCAGAAGCCCCAGTAACACTTTCTGATTAGAAATCAAGCTTCTTCATTGATTATCTTCTTTCTCTTCATCAGGCAGGCATTATAATCTCAAAGCAAATGTTTAAGAAACATATAGAATGTATTACCATTCTCACAATTTGGGAATGTGGAAACGTGTTAAGCTAATTTATATGCCAATATAAAAGGATGGAGCTTCTTGCTAAATTGAATTGGTACTAAGCACCTTTGGATTCTTAAGAGCCCCCAATACATGCAACATTACAATAATTACAGAGGTTTCTTCCTACTAGGTCAGGGGTATGCTGACTGGGGTTTATGCGAGATACAATTCGAAACCTCTGGAGGGCACCAGGTTGCCTTCTTGTGTTCTATGTCATAGGGCCAATTAACCAGCACCAGCCCAGTCTTTTCTGGGCTCAGTTCCAGTTATCTTGCCTAAATCTATTAGGTTGTGGCAGATTCTCAAGGGTACTTAATTCAGTGGGGAGGTACCACAGTTAGGGAGAAACTTTCCTCTTCAGAAAGTCATGAACAAAGAAAGGCAGGGTCGAACAAAGAGAGGCAGCAACAGAAAACTAACATCAGAGTTACATTATTGTTATTTTGCCTTACTGGGCAGCTCTGGTTAAGTATCACTGCATTATTTTCCATATATGTATAGAAAATATCATTGGTCCACTGAAAAAGATCAAATTTTGGTCAAAATGTGTTGGTTTGTTTTGTAGATGTTTATTCTAGAGATGTATCAAAAGTGGTTTCTTTTAATTTGTGGCTCTATTAATTTGCTGTATGAATTCATAAAGTGTGAAATCATGTTATTACTCATCCTGACATGACAGTTCATCCATAGTCTATTGCCATTCTCCAGGACCATAAAAGAGAAATCTTGTGTACATGCCATGTTGTCCAATAACATCATATAGCCATCATGCGCAAAGGAGTACGGATCTCAGATAATAGTTTATTATTGAGGCCATGAGCAAATTCTCTGTATTGCACCCACATCAGAAACTGGAAAATGTCCATGAATTAGTCCAAATGAGCCTAGAAGAGCTACATGTCCACCTCTGAGATTAAGCAAAAAAATAGGAAACTGAAGACAGGTCAGGATTATCAGTTCTAGCTGATGGTTTCTTAAGAAAATGGCAAAGGACTATAGAGGATGCTTCCATCTTGCTTTCATGGAAGAGAAGCATGGACAATGGGTTAGACCCAATTTACCTGTATTAGTCCAAGTTGCAAATGTTTCATTTTTCCAAGCATATTCTCTGTGTCAGTGAAAGAAATCAAGTGATTTATATAAATTAACAAAGGTTGATCCTTAAAGACCTCTCAATTTAACCAAGCTAGTGGTCTCTCAAGTCATGCCTGATATGATTAAATATATGACTCACAGAAAAACTGTGTACCAGATCAGAGCATGGAAGTAGCTTGCTGGATACAATGTAAAGCAAACAAAAGGCAAGAAGGCAAAAATAGCTGGGTAGCCATTTCCTGCCTGCTTGAGCTAATGCAATAGTGGATAAATTTCAACAGTGGGTTTGATCCAATGGTGCAATTGGAATCCATGTCATGGGTTGGGGGACCCTCTTGAGCAGATATGAGACTTGTGCTGAAGGCTGCTGGGGAGAAGACAGGAGAGGACAGGAAGACCCCTTCCATTGTGGACAACTGAGGTAATAATATAAGTGATAATTATTATTAAATATTTAGCTGATATGTTAGCACCACTGATGGTCTTTTACCAAATAAAACAGTATATAAATGCATACATAATTATCTCTTTTACACTGTTGTGAATTATAGGTGTCATTCAGTGGGGAGCACAATAGAGCCTGAATGGAAGACAACCAGATAAAGCCAGGGTTTCTGTGGAGAGGAAAAGGAGAAAGAAATGCTGAAATCCATTCCTTTAGCTACAGCAAGGGCACAGATGTCCAGTATATCAACCAACAGGCTGGCC